TTAAAGGCATTTTTAGTTGACTTAAGAAGGCAAGTTTAGAAACAGTTAGGAGGCTCCCCCTGTAGGACACACTGAAGCCTCAACAAACAATAGACTGTCACACTAGTTGTGACCACCTCAGAAAGAAGTTAGCACCCAAAGAGATAAATTTATAGGTAGCAGGGAAAACATGGTCTGGCCAGTCATGTAAAATGTAAGATGAGAATTCTGAAAAACAGGTATTCCTCAATTATGTTCCTTAATGAATAAAAACATGGTGAGTGTGGAAAACAGAGGAGGAGCCTGGAAGACAATGACGAGACGGGAGTGGCCAATCAGCTGACGCTTTGGGTGCAACTGTGAGCGCATTATTGCCAAGCCCTTTCAACAATAAATAAGCAAGTGTCCTTGAATGCATGAATCTGGGACACAGCAAAAGCGTCAGAACCTTGTTCTTATGTTTGCACTGCCAGGCAGGCTCCAGCGTTTGGCACCACGCCTCCCAAACCACATGCCGGCGACTCCGGCGACTCTGGTGACTCCGAGTCAGAAAGAGGAGAGAAAGAAATGTGTGAAGGGGATGTGTGAGAAGTGTGTGTGTGTGTGTGTGTGTGTGTGTGTGTGTGTGTGTGTGTGTCAGAGGCAGAGGGACAGAGACAGAGAGAGGCTGCCTTCTTACCTCATCCCAAGTCACGGTAGTCTTTTTATTTGAATTATTTTTCCTTCTGCTCTTAGATAACAAAAGGGTAAATTAAAATACAATAAAAATATTACAAGGGAAAAAAGTCAAAAGAAGAAAGACATTCTCTTGGCATTTGTTTCAAGGCTGCAAAATGTAAAGTGTCTTGACAGCATCGAGAGAGATTTTTCTCCTTTAAACTAGGTGTTGGAAAATGTGCTTCGTTTAAGCAAATCAATATCTTTAATTCCGGCCTGTTGCTCTAGATTTAGTGCCCGATTTCCAGGGAAACGTAGAAGGAGTCAAGCCTCATAACTTTGCATAGTTTCCATGAAGAGGAAGCAGAAGACCAAGGGCAATGCAGTGTCTGTTTTAGGAATAATTTAACTTTCCTCCATTTCTTGGTAGAATACAGACTACCATGCTGCTGCAATTACGAATGTCTGATTGCCAAGCCCTTTCAACAATAAATAACCAAAGTGTCCTTGAATGGATGAATCTGGGAAACAGCAAAATCATCTGAGCCTTATGGCATTGGAGAAAAATAGAGGAAAGAAAGGGCTAGGAAGCTTTGAGTGTGTGGGCTGCAATTGTAAATATTAGGACTTGAAAAGACGTCACTGGGAAGGTGACATTTAAATAAAGACATGCAGGAGATGAGAAAAGGAGCCAGGCAGGAATGTGGGGAGGAGACCTGAGGCAAAAAGAATGGAAAGGCCAAACGCTCTGAGAGTGGGGCAGGCCTGGTGTGTGCAGGGAGTGTGGCGGGGGCGGCAGGAGAGAGCACGGGAGCCGTGGGGGGTGAGGGCATCTGGATCACGCGGGGCTTTGTGGTTCATCTTAAGGAATTTAGCTTTCACTCTGAGTGAGATGGGAACCTCTTGCGGGTGCTGGGCGGAAGAGTGATGTGCTCTACTTTTCATGTTAAGAGGATCTCGCTGATGTGTATTGAAAACACTGTATACCGAAGGGAAACAAGGTAGAGCCAAGGAGAAGACTTAAGAGGATATTGCAAGAATCCAACTGAGGGATCATGGCAGCTGGAACCGGATTGGAGTCACTGTAAGTGGCAAGACTGATCTGATTATTTTGTTGAAGTAGAACCAACAAGATTTGCTGACAGGTTGTATGTGAAATTTAAGAGAAACAAATGGCATTACTGGTGATTCCGAGGATTTGGCTTGAAGCTCTCAGAAGAACAGAGCTGCCATGAACAGATACGGGGAAGATTCGGGGGCGCCAGGTGTCCAGCACCAGAAACTAGGACTCCCGGACAGGTTAAGTTTAAGATATCTGTTATATAGTCAAGAGAGGAAGTTGTGTAGGCAGTTAGATGAACGAGGTCTGTCCAGAAAGTATCAAGCCATGTAATAGGAAAAATAGAGACATTTATTGAAGAAGATGCAAGATACAAGAAACATTGTACGTAGCACAACGACGCCTCAGTCCCCTTCACAGTGGGCACCTTGGGACCTCACACAGTTCTCCCGGCGTCTCTTACCCTAACCTGCACACGTTCCGCATTCTCAGCTGTTCTGCTTGTTGCAGGCCTTCCAGAACGTGGATCACTTTCAACAGCTCCTCGACCATCTTTGAAGTGCATGTGCCACACTTTCATTTCTGCAGCACTCATTGCATCGTCCGAAAGCCTTCTGAATCATCCGAATAGTTTCCTCAGAGGGAATGTTCAAGCTTAAGGCAAAATTTGATGTAGATTCGTTGCTCTACCCACTCAGCGATTTGGGGTGTGACGGCCACGCAGTGCACGTGCTCACTCAGCGGCGCCTAGCGCCCCACTGACTAGTGCAGTGAGGTCGCCATGTTCGCAGGCGCGCCCAGCCACTCTCCGCGGCTGCCAGGCTACATGTGAGCCACACCACGTTCTCGTTATGTTAACAATGGCTGGATACTTTTTGGACAGATCTTGTGTGTCTAAAATATTGGGATAGAAGTTAAGGCTGCAGATAGAGTTTCCATATGGGAATTGTTAACATTTAGATGATAATGTAAAGTCACGAGACCAGAGGAGCTCAGTGAAGGAGTGAAGGAGGCACAGTTAACCTTTGAACAACACAGGTCTGAACTGCGCAGGTTCCCTTATGTGTGGATTTCATTCTGCCTCTGCCTCCCCTGAGACAGCAAGACCAACCCCTCCTCTTCCTCCTACTCAATGTGAAGATGATGAGGGTGAAGACCTTTATGATGATTCACCTCCACCTAATGAATAGTAAATATTTTTTCCCTTCCTTATGATTTTCTTAATGATGTTATCTTTTCTCCATCTTACTTTATTGTGAGAATATAATATATAATACATATAAGGTAATGAATATGTATAAATTGACTGTTATTGGTGAGGCTTCTGGTCAACAGTAGCCTATTACTAGTTAAGTTTGGGGGGAGTCAAAATTTATACTAAGATTTTCAGCTGTGGGGGGTTGGCACCCTAACCCTTGCACTGTTCAAGGGTCGGTCAACTGTATATTAAAAAGAAGGACTTGAATTAATTACCTTAATTATGGGGGAATTAGGTAATTGAGGGGGTGAAGAAGTGAGTGAAAGAAAAAGTTATGGATCCAGGCTCTCACATATGTTTTTACATTTCTGCAAGTACCTCACTTTTTTCTATGCACGAAAGCCAAGCTATCCACCTATCTACCCATTTATCCATCCACCCTCCCATCATGCCTTTCTCTTTCATGGGATATGTGAAAGAGCACTGAGCATTTAAGAAGACTGGAATTTCTAAATGAGCTTCATCTCTAGTTACTCACCTAGGCCTTTGACTACCTTGGCCTCAGTTTCTCCATTAATCAATTGAGAGGATTGGCCTATGAGATGTGTAAAAGCATTCCCTTCTCTGACATTCTGTGATTTTAGGAATCTCAGAAAAATTTGAGAGTTCTTATCCAAGTTGTATAAGGTGGGTCCAACTGGATAAATATAGCTAGAATTGCTCTTTGTTTCTTACCACTTCATTTATTTATAATTATGCATGAAAGGGCACACATACAAAATTATGAATGCTTTGAGTCCCCTGTCTCTAAGTTCCCAAGTCCATTTTCATCCAAATTCCTTGAGCTTTCTCTGCTCCAAGGATGACTTTGCTATACTGAGGTGCTGACACGCAGATGTTGGAAGGTTTGCTGAATAGGCAGTTTGGGGAGCAGAGTGTCACATTGTTCAGGGGGGCAGAGCACGAGCAGTTCTCATTGGGACCACTTGCTCATGGATATTTGCCAGTTGTCTCATCTCTTCTTGTGATATTATTATTTTAGAGTCAAGAAAAGGCCAGCAAGTTTAAAAAAATAGGTATCTCAGAAGTCTTCGTTGTCATCAGTCAAGCTGCGACAGCTCTCATCCATATGCATGATGTACATTAGCTTGTCTCTACGTCCGACCTCCCTGTGTCTGCTTTGGGCAGCATGAGCTGGCTCTTCTGCAGATGTAGAGCCTTCTACCCACCCTCCGCAAATATGTGACCAGGCTTCGGGCTTAGACCTTGGAGTCGGGGGTCCTTCTTGGGAACCTTTATATCATTCCAAGGTCACTCTGTGATGAGAACCCTATATCTTTACATTAATAACTTCTGAGCTATCTGTTCATAGCTAATAAAAATTATTAAAATAAATGACCACACGCAACATCTGGGTAGATCATCCTCAGCCCTGGGTCACCTTGATGGCCCCAGTTACTGACAGTGTGTTTGAAGCTTTGGCATGGAGCAAGGAAGGCATGTCTAAGTTTGGCCATTGGCTTCCAGGCAGATACTGGGCCTCTGGCCATGAACATCTTTATTTATGATCTTCCTTTCAACCTCTTTCAGGCAAAGAAGTTGTCATAATAGAGTTGGTGCAATTTATTTTGGTCTTGGCAAAAGAATGTCCCCCTTCCCCAGACTTTCATCTTCTTTCTCCCTCTTTCTCTGACATTATTTGTCAAATGATCCAGAGATAATTTTTAATGCCTTTACATCACAGTGAAGCTAAGTTCTGTTAGATTATAAATGATTAAATATCTTCTAGTCATCCACTTGCACAGTCTGTAACAAATTATCCCAAAAAGGAGATTAATTCCTTTATAATTTTGAATAAGAAAATGATAAGACAATGACCTGCAGGCTTTAGAATCAAAAGGCTCTCACATTTCTGGGAAATTGTTAGTTTTATGGAAAGGGCTTGACTTTCTCCTTCAAAGGTCATTTAAATCAGCAGTCCCCATCCTTTTTGGCACCAGGGTGCGGGGGATGGTTTCAGGATGATTCAAGTGCATTACATTTATTGTACACTTTATTTCTATTATCATTGCATTGTAATATATAATGAAATAATTATACAACTCACCATAACACAGAGTCTAATGCTGCTGATCTGACAGGAGGCGGGCTCAGGCGGTGTGCGAGCAGTGGGGAGCGGCTGTCAGTACAGATGAAGCTTCACTTTCTCCCCTGCTGCTCACCTCCTGCTGTGTGGCCCAGTTCCTAACAGGCCAGGGACAGGTACTGGTCTGTGGCCCAGGGTTGGGGACTGCAGATGTAGAAGGTATTTACTGGGGCCTTACATGATGTCAGCCCTCTGTTGGGCACTGCAAAGCTTGGCTAGCCCTCAGACTCACATGAGGAGCTGTGTGGATATACGGGTTATCGGTCCCACCTCATACTGAACTGGCCTTGCAGCGAGTGGAGCCCAAGAATAAGCATTTTTGGAAAGCTTCCTGAGCAATGGTAATGCAGCCAGCCCATAAAATTGTTCTGGAATCTCTGCTACGGGCACTGCAAGAGAAGAGGAGGGGAGGCTCCCTGCCCAGAGAGGGTTTACAGCTCACAGAGGCCCAGGATACGTTGTCACGTGGTGAAGGCCACCTCTGGTTTAGAATGACTGAGCCTGCATTTTACTGGGATAACAGAAGTATGCTTCATAAACTGTGACATGTGTACAAGTTGAGTCAAAGTTAGAAACAGACTGTTCTGAAGAGAAGGAAGACTGGGTGTAGCCTCATGAGGACAGAGGTGAATACCTCTGTCCACTGAATACAAGTGGAAGCAGAAGTGGTTAAAATTCTGATTATCCACAGATAATTGTGAGAAATGGATATTCTGCTCTAATTATCAATTATCTATCTATCATCTATCTATCTATCTATATCTGTCTACCTACCTACCTCTGTCCTCTATCTGTTTTCCCATCAGTATCTTTACTCTAATCTAGCTCACTTTGGTTTATTGTGCTGGTTTTAATTCTTATCACTGAAGATCTTTCTGGCACATACATGAGGTGAGCAATGGCCAGGCGTTCTGGGTTCAAGTCCCAGCTCCGCTTTGCTGGCTGTTTGACTTTGAACAAGTCTTTCCTCCGGTCTAGGACTCAGTTTTCCCCTCGGAGCAAGGAGCTCTGGTTGGACGGCCTCTGGAGTCCCTGCAGCTCCAATACTCTGTGAAAACGTGTGAGTCCCCTTTCCTGCCCTAGCAAAGATAGTCTAGTGGCCACAACAGAATCTTTCTTTCCCACTAGAAGGCCCAGCAAGACCTCAAGTCCTCACCCAGAACGAGTTCCTGTTTGTCAGGGATCCAGGTGGGAAAGGTCCAAGAGTTTTGGCTGAATGTTCATTGAGCACAGACCACACCATGGAGAGTGGTTAGTTCCAAAAGGACTAATTGTCAACTCTGAGCTCTCTGCAGTATCACTTGCGTTTCTTCTCAAAAGTGGATTCAGGGAGGAAAGACACTAGTATCTTGGATACTTACAGAGAATTGAACGTATGTTCTGCTTCATTTGTAAACTATTCTTGTTACTGTCCATAGTGATGGGGAGAGCAGTGGCAGTCACCAACAAAAGCTTATTGAGAGGATATTATCTGACAGCCTTTGTGCTAACTCAAATCAGCATGTGTGCCTCGAGTTGGAATGCTCCGGAAATTTTGTTTGCTGCAATCTTGCCTTTTTCATTATGGCAAATAGACAAGTGGTAAGAATAGCAAGCGTTCCCCGAACCACCCGGATGAATGGAGCTGGGCTGACAGTGGTAGGAAGGCTTCAGGGCGGGTGTCAAGCCCAGCATCCCGTTTATGCCTTTAGTCCAGCGATACACTAACAGGGATCTTTTTTGTCTGGTCAAGCCCAAGTACCTCTTCCCACTTAAAACCTATGTCCAAGAAGCTTCTGTGGCTAATCTCAATGTGCCATGGTGGTTCCCTTGTCTCTGAGTGACAGGCACTGCACGCCAAACACTCATCTCTATGACATCACATTACCTCTGATAGAAGCGTTAGGACATTAGTCACATTTTACAGAAAAGGAAGTTTAGAGATGTTACTCTACTTGCCTGAGATCTCAGAGCTATTAGGAGGTGGGGTCAAGATTGAAACCCAGGTCAGTCTGGGTTTACTCTCCTGCCACCCCCTGGTTGGGCCCCCCATTTACTCAATAACCACATGTCTCCCCAAGTTAGTAGTAAGCCCGGCCCACAGAAGTTCTGCATGCATGAGAGGGTCACTACACGAGTGTCTTTGTCTGTCCTGCAATTCCAAGTTCAGCGTTGTCCAGTCTCTTTTGTAGTGAACAGTCATGGAACTGAATGGAAGTGATATCTTTGGTTGGCACCCAGCCGGGCGAGTGGGCTTGAGGGCTCAGAGGATAAGGATTGAAATTCCACTGAGGTACGTGCCCCTCCCTCTTCCACCAGCATCACCAATGAGTTGTCTCTAGGCACCCATTGAAAAGAAGCCTTGAGACCCAAAACACTGGCTCCCTGATACAGAGAAATTAAACACCAGCCCTTTACTAGGAAGCAAATGATTGCTGTCTGTGTTTGTGTACAATAAGGAGGATGGGATGGCAGAAGGGGTGATCATTTCTTTGAGTAAGAAATAAGACATCAGAGCTTAGTGGAAAATTATCTTTTTCCTATAGAATTAATTTAATCATCTGAAGAAAATTTTACTTATTGGGGACCAATTATTCTAATGATTCAATAATGTCTCTCTCTCTCTCTTTTTTCAAATGAAAGAAAGACAACCCTGTTATGAAAAGGAAATTAGCTGCAGATATTAGAAAGCTGGTACAGGTCCTTCGAGCCATGAGCTTTCTAGCAGGTATTTATGATGTGTTCCAATGCAAAATGTGAAGCTTTAGTGGACAGGCTGCTTTAAAAATCGCTACTATCTCAGCAACTACAAAAATAGTGAAGAACAACACACTTCAGATCTTATGCATTTGATGTTAAGTTACTGCTAATTTTTTTTAAATCTGGGGAAGTTTAATTTCTAGAAACCATATGCAATATCATAAGAACACAAGGGTTTCATTTCTCACATATTTATATAAATTTAAGCATTCAATGCAAAAGCAAATTAGAAAATGCCTCCTTAGAGTTTGTTTGATTATTTTCTCAGGGAAACAAGCACCTTAAAAATCTGCTAAGTTTTTGCTGGTTCTTTTTGCCACAGAGATGAATGCTGGACCAACTGAGCCTTTGCAGCTTGAAAAATGCACTGGGGCTTTATTTTGCATTCAAGACAAACGATGTATCTTTTGTTTTGCATTTAAAATAGGAAGGTTGCATCAATAACCCTGGTCTAACCTCACCCAGCACCTGCAAAGGGAGATGGGGAGGCCAGCATAACTGAGTATGTGACTTCACCTCAATACAAGGGACAAGGGCAAATGTGGTTTTATCCTTGTGAGGGGTTTTTGGAAGGAGATAGTGCTTTTTTCTTTAAGGATGACTGCATTCCTCAGTTGAATTCTATAGCTTCACAGTGCAGGCCAGCCATTTAAGAAGTTATGGCGACAGCAGATAGGCTGTCCGTAGCCTGGCAGAGCTGAGGATGTTTCACCTGCATGGCCTGGGTCACGTGTCATCTCTCCATGCCCTTGTGACAGCACTGGTTTGTAAAAACAGAAATGGCTTAATATCCCCTTCAGCAAATGAGGAACCTGGGACCCAGAGAGGTGAAGGGACTTGTGTGCAGTCATACAGCATGTTGTGGGGAGGGGCGGTTTGATGGGGGGCTCTGAATTTCAGCCAAGGTGACTCTTCTTGAGCCTTCATACCTCCACTCCACTGTGCCAGAGATGCTAGCTTTGCTTAGGGTATGGTTTTCACTCTTTTCCCATCAAAGCTCAATTGCCCTGGATCTCTAGAGTGTCCTGAGTAAAACTTGATAAGATGGGACCAAGTATTAGGAGGTGATGATGGGGGTAGATTCTGGCTGTAGCATCAGATGGAACTAAGTTTGCCTTCTGGGTGATCTTAGGCAAGACATTTAACTTCTCCGAACTTGGCACTTTCAACCATTGAAATGGAAATATGGTGTGTCATGTCTCTCAGAGGAAATTGAATTATATATGTTAAGGATACGGTAGTCTACCATTGCGAGCTCCCGGTTCCATATTGTGATGATTGTCTTCAATGCTTAAATCCAAAGCATTGATTGAATGTAAGGTGAAGTTGAGATCACAGTGAAGGCAATTTTGGGGGTGCTCTTGGCATGCTAATGTCATATCTCGTGGGTGGGTGGCAGCTTCTTAACCACTTCAGCTGAGGCATAGTGATAGCATTCCAGAACAGGAAGGATTATTGGGGAAGCTTGCTTAAGCCAACTTCATTCTGTGTGTGGGCGTGGAGAGAGGGAGGGAAGCAGAGTGTAGGTGAAGGGAGAGAGGAGGAAGGAAGCAAACTGGGACAAGGTCGAGAGTTGCAGGACAGTGTGCAGCTTGGTTCTGCACAGCCAGGGGGCGCAGGGTGGGCAGTGCCCTTCTGTGATCAGAGGTAGGCAGCAATCCGCCCACCTCCCCAGGGGGCTGTGCCTACCTGCACAGTGCGGATTTTGTGAATTAGTACGAAGGTGCTATCCAAGCTGGCAGAGACCCTGCACAGTCTTCTTAGACTCAGAAAACTTGGGCTGGGATCAGGGCTCTGCTAGAGCGAGTCCTATGTCCCCTTTGAGACTCAGTTTTCTTTTTCATGAAACAGAATATGGCTTCCCCACTGTTCACAGGTCTGCCATGGAATCAAATCAGATTAAAGATGTAGAAGATGTATGGTACACTGTGGAATGCTGAGACTGTCTACAGCCAGTCTTGGAAACTCCTCTTTCTCCGGACTTCATTCAATGCCCCTCCCATCTCCCCTGAAGCCCAACTCAGGTGAGCCTCTTTGTCCTGCCTTCTCCAGTGATTCTGAGACTCCTTTGATTACCTCTGCTAGCTTAGTACTACGTCTGTGCTACACACGTTGGGTGTTTCCATTAGTGAGGACTCTTTGGTCATAAGTGGTAGAAAATCAAATCAAATTGACTTGAGTGGGGGAAACGTTCATTTATTCATGAACCTTAGAATCTCATGGACAATGCTGGCTTCATCTCCATCTCTCAGCTCTACTTTTGTCTTTCTGACTCCATTTTCAAGCAGGCTCTCCCCATGTGTGGTCAAGACATGTATCTTGCAGCCCTAGGCTTGTGCTTTATCAGCTTGACACCTGTTTGGAAAGAGGAGGGCCTCTTTCCCAACAATTCAAGGAAAAGTCCCAGGATTGAATCTCATTGGGCAAATGTTGGTCACATGTCTTGTCTGAATCAATCACAGTGGCCAAGATAATGGGATATGCTATTCGACTAGGGATAGGTGACCTTTATCTCTCTAGGTAGGTAGATAGAAGGGACATTGTATATATATGTGTGTGTGTGTGTGTGTTTGTGTGTCTGAGAGAGGGAGAGAGAGAAAGAAAGAGGTTCCTCTAAGTCTAGAAATTTGCTTAAAATAAACATTTTTTAAAAGTTTTAATGCAATAAAAGTCTCCAAAGAAAAACTAAACATATTGACTAGGTAAACCAACCAGAAAACCAGAAGACAGAGAACCAATGTCTGATAAACTTCTTTTTCCTCAGAGGTTGGCTTCTATCCTGACAGAATCAGAACTCTTGGTGGCTCTAGCCTTTCTTCTTCTTCCTTTTAAATTGCTTCTTTCTGGCTCTCTGATCTCTGCTCTCAGCCTGTCCCCTCCTTCTCTTCAGGCTCCGCGAGCACAGGAGCGACTGCTCAGGCGGTGTGGACCGCACGGTGCCCTGCGGGCTCCACCCTCTCCACGGGGGTCAGGGACCCCGTGAAAATTCCTGCCTCTCAGCCACCCTGTGGATTCCAGCCACCCTGCTCTGGTGACTGTCTCTGTGCAAGTGTCCGGTCCCGCCTTTAGCAGCTCTCTTTGCTCGCACTCTTCACACCAGTTTCCCGCAACTGCCGTCGCTGCTCAGCCCGCTTTCTCTTCAACCCACTGAGGTTAGGAAGGCCAGCCCACCTGCCCACTGAAACTGCTCCCGTCAAGGCCAGCCCACCTGCCCTCTGAAACTGCTCCCGTCAAGGCCAGCCCCACGCCACTGAAACTGCTCCCGTCAAGGCCAGCCACCACGCCACCGAAACTGCTCCCGTCAAGGCCAGCCCACCACGCCACTGAAACTTCTCCCGTCAAGGCCAGCCCACCACGCCACTGAAACTGCTCCCGTCAAGGCTACCAAAGAGTCCCCGCCCCTTAGCTTCCTGGCTGCTGCTTTCTCCTCTTCCGAACCTGCAAGGTTGAGAGGCTCCCGGGCCGGGCAGGTTATCTCCCTACCTAAGTGCATCTCCCTCGACCCCCTTGGTACCAGCCATATGCTTACGACTCCCAAATGCCTACCTATCTCAAACCTAGAATTCTCCCACGCATCCGGGCTTGCATTTCTAAACACTTGTTCACATTTCCACATGGATGTCTAACAGCCACCCCTGAACTTATTTCTCCTGAGCCTTCTCGCATTGGTAAATGGACTAACATTGACCCAGCGAACCCAGCTGAAAGTAAGTGCGGGTGTCGTCTGAGAGTCCTTCCCCTCATCCTCTCTCCAGCGCCATGCACCAGCCTGCTGTAGCAAAGCCCTGGCCGCGTGGGAGCCGCTTGGTTTGGGCAATGCCTAGAAGCTGGAAGAGCTTTGAGGTGCATGACAGAAGAGGCCTGAAGTGTCTCGAAGAGGCCATTGCTAGAAATGTGGACAAGGTCTCGGACGGGAATAAGGAACATATCGCAAACTGGAGAAGCAACCACCCTCGTTATCAAGTGGCAGAGAACTTGGATGGATTGGGTTCACTGTTTTGTGATGACTGCGGATATTTAGCTGAGGAAATTTTCAAGCAAAGCATCAAAGGCGTGGCCGTGTTCAAGCAAAACGGAGCCAGAACTTAAAGATTTGGAAAATTCTCAGCCTATCCATATGGCAAAAAAAAAAAAAAAAAAAAGGGAACATGTGCTATGCAGAGAACACCAAGCGTGCGGCTGAGCAGCCATTTGCTAAACAAAACAGGTGCATGACTTGCGGGTCCATCAGCCATTTCAGCAGGTGTGCTGCCAGCCTGGACTGAAGGGACAGAGATGGGATGAAATGAAGGAGGGCTGTTGGACTTCTGGGGTTCTACAGGCCTTGCGAGGGTATGTCTTGTTGACTCTAATTCCATATCCACGTCTGTCAACCTCTGTCTCCACTGCATCACTCTAGTCCCAGCTGCCATCAATTCTTGTTCCTCTGCCATCTCTCGCCTGCATAACTTCAGGTCTCATAAATGTTCTTCATACTTACACCTTGTCGCTCCCCCGCCCAATCCATTCGCTACATCGCAGAGCACAGCATAGCATTTTCACAAATGTAAATCACATCATGTCACACCCTTGCCTAAAATACTTTGACGTCTTCTCATCACACCCGGTATAAACCATGACCTCTAAGGTCAGACATAGGGGCTTCCCGCCACTTCTCTGACATCCTCTGGGCTGCCCCCCACAGCCCCTCACTGCGACCCACCGCAGCAGCTGCCGGTGCTGTTGCCATTCCCCAGATGTCTGGGCTTGCTCCTGCCTGGGCATTTGCACCGCCGCTGCCTTTGCCTGCAAGGCACTTTCCCCAGAAATTCACTTCTATTTTCTTCTCAAATGAGGTGTCAGTTTGAGTGACACCTCCTCGGAGAGGGCTTCCTGGGCCACTGGGCCCTGTCCATCTTGTCACAGATGGGAAGGGAGAGATCCGCAGTATTCAGTCATTCATCCCCGAGGCCCAGGGCCGGGGTGTGGCCGTAACCCGGCTGGGCTTTCTCCCCGAATACGAGTGGAAACACGAGCCCCAGCGCCACTCGTCTTGGGAAAGGCGTGGGATTGCTGAGGGCTCGTGGAAGGCGCTCGGGCTCCGAGCCACGGGCGGGCGGGATGCGGTGGGCATCTTCCTCCCTCCGACTCGGTTTGATTATCACGCGAAGAGCGAGCGCTGGTTCCTGGAAGACCGCAGCTCAGCTTGGGCGAGTGGGACGCCGCCGGAGGGGCCTTCCGAGCGTCGCCAGACATGGAAACAGCCCCTGAAACGGGACGCCAGAGCCACCAGGCAGACACAGCCATGGGCTCCGATGGAGGCTCGCCCGGCAAGCCTGCGGTCTGCCTCGAAGTGTCCCTCCTCCGCCGGCACCCGCTGGCTTCCTGGGCGTGGCCGCCTCTGCTCCCCTAGTCCCTGTGGCAAGCCCGACCAGTGTCACAGCAGCGCAGGTGTCAGACCACCCCTCCGCCCCTCACCCCTTCCTTCGCCTCTGGTTCCTGCTTTCTGCTGTAGGGTGCCATCTGAATCCCCTCCAGAAAGGTCCCCAGTGTGTCGGCCTTCAGTTTGGGTTCTGACTTGCTCTGCTGCCTCAGCCTGTTCTCCAGCCCCGGTGGCTTCGCTCCGTGCTTGGTGGCCTTCCTCACTTCCCAGTGCTGGAGGCTGACAGAGAACAGCAGGTCTTACACACCCGCAGGCCAGCAGGTGGACGGGCAAAGCTGTCGGATGTTGTGCACAAGGGTACGAGTACGCAAGTCACAAGGTTACCATCCCCCAGTGCAGGGAAGACCCCTGGCCCTGGGTGAGGAGGTTGACTTGGGAGCCTCCCTGCTCCGATGTCCTAAACCCCACTTCAGCTCAGAGCTGGCCGGGAGCAGGACAGCTGCTGGGGAGTTCTAGCCAGCACTTTCCTCCAGTGCCCCCGGACTCACTATCACACCGATGAGTGTTCACTGGGAACTAGGGAAGCCTACTAAGGAGCGGGGGCCGTCCTCATGTGCGGTAACACAGGCGCCTGGCTGCGAGGGAGGAGGCCGCTGGGCGAGGCTTCCTCTGGGCAGTGAGGCTCGAGCTGAGGGCTGAACCAGCAGGAGGAGCTGAGTGGGGCAGGAAAGGGCAAGAGGGTAAGAGGACAAGGGGTAAGCACGTGCCCCGAGGCAAGAAAGAACTTGGCACTTTGCAGGAGCTGAAGGAAGGCAGGTGTGCCTGAACCAAGGAGAGTGCGAGGAGAGATGGAATGAGGCCCTGACTCTGTAGGGCCTTATGGATGGGGATTTCCTGGGAAGTCACACCCTGGGCAGGCTGACCAGGGGACTCCCAGGCAACCACGGTCACTGTCATGGAAACTTAATATCCACCAGTCATCATCCTTGACTTTCAACATTAAACGAAAGCCCTGCTAAAATGCAGGAATTAATGATGACTGATTATGGGACAGAAATACCTTAGCATGCACATCACCTACCCTGACTTGAGGGAGATCATTTCTGAGCAGAGACATATCTGGATGGGGCACTTGTTTTATGTGTTTTGCTTCCTCAACAAAATTGTAAGTTGAGGTCTGGAATTTTTGTATCCTTTGCCAAAGGCCCAGAAGCATGCTGGGCAAAGAGAAAATACCTACATTATACCCACAGCGATTGAGAGTCCCTCTCTTCTTGTTCTTGGTGCTCCCAGCATAGACCTCAAGTGGTGACCCCAGGCTGTGTGTATGTGGTGGTGGCCCAGATGGGTCCAAGGGACCTAGGATCTAGAAGGTCATGTGGGCAGTTCCACCAGACCCACCCAGCATCTGCTAGCTTCCCCCATGGACTTCTGGCTGTTGCCCTAGTTCAACTGCCCACAGGATAGACAAGGTTTTTTTGGGGGGGTTGGTAATTTCTCCCCTGCAGTCTCAGGCACCCACAGCCATTCTGCACACCATCCCAGCTGCTTTAGGGTTCCTGATCAGACTGTGGGCTAGAGTTGAGGGTGGCAGCCTAGAATGCAGTTAGGACGCTATTGCCAAGGTCCACACGATGACTTTGGGGCTGGAGAGAGGCGAGCAGATCCACAACGTATTAAGGAGGCAGAACTGGAAGAGCTTGTGGCTAGAGTATACACAGAGTTGGCGGAGAGAAAAAGAAGAGTGCGTGTTGACTTCTGGGTTACTGGCATGAGGCCCATCATAGAGAAGCCTGAAGGAGAAATGGGTATGGTACAGAATTCACGTGGTAGCTGGAGGTTATAAGCATGAAGGACAGGTGATGTCACTCCCCTGCTTGAGACTGTGATACCTTCCCCCGGTGCTTAGGATAACCTCCAAATCTCCACCCAGCCCTGCAGCCCCGTCTCTCCCAGCCCATCCCTGACATACCCTGTGCCCCCCCAAGCTCACTATACTTCAGCCACCCTGGCCAGACAAGGCTTTCCCGTATGCAGCTCCTCCTTCTAGAATGGTCCTTCCTCTGCTTTTAACCTGGCTGATCTTCACACATCCTTCCGGTCTCAGTTTATCCATCATTTCTCTAGAAAGCCTCTCCTTGGCCTCTGCCAACCAAGTCCCCGGCCTTGTCCTTCCTGGTCCTGGCCAGCATGTGTCAGATGTATTCATTTTACCTGGTCACTTGCTGCTTCCAGGAGGCTCCAAACTCCACAGAGGCCCGTTCTGTTCACCTGTGTCCCAGACGGGCCTGGCGCGGTGGGCGCTGGGCACGTGCTCGCTGAGTGGTGGCGGACTCAGTCGAGGGTGACGTGTTGCACGCCCTGCCCTGGCGTTACTCCCCACAGCCCTGTGGGCAGGCCGCAGCCACCCTCTCCTCCCACACTCGCCTGGCAGGTGCAGACAGACCCAGACACATAAGCTTTTTGTTCCCCTTCACCGTTTGTACCTTGCCAGGACAACTGCTTTTCTAATAAATGTTTCTCAAGAGGGTCACGTGAAGAGAAGTCGTGCAGAGGGAAAGGACACAGGCTGGGGTGAGAGACCCTGCCCACCAGCCTGGACATACATTTGTTCCTCAGAGCCTCAGTTTCCCCATTTATAAATAAAAGTGTTTTCATTTTTAGTTCATTAATTAATTCATGTGTTCATTTTTGTAAAAGCTAATGCATGTTTGTGGTTAAAAAAAGGCACAAAAATCCTACAGAGTAAGAAGTAAACTCACATCTCATGTCTGTAGCTTCACCCGAACGCTGGCGAGCTGGCAGAGAAGAAGGTCTCTTGAGTATTTAAAACATTTTTACAATATAAATTTATTATAGAAAGTTAGAAAACATAGATAAATGATAGAAAATCAAAACCACCTAGAAAATACTGAAAATTTTGTGTATATTTTCAAGAGGTTTTCCTATATTTTAATCTTTTAGAAAATGTTTCTAAAATATTTATTGAGCTTTGCTCTAGCTGGTTTCATATACATTATCACATTTAATCTTCATTAGGTTCTGTGAAGAGGGCTTGGTACTTCCCAATCCTATTTTATCAGTGAAGTGAAAGCTCATGGACATTAAGTAATCTAGAAGCTTGTAGAGAGCAAGGGGCAGCCTCAGAATCCACACTCCGCTGTGCCCGATTTCAGACTCACAGGCTTAAGACTGTCCGGCTTCTGGCTCCCACTGGGCCCTAAAGCTGCCCTTTCCCAAACTGGTGAGCGGGGAGGCCCCTCCGCCCGCCCTGTGGTCTGCGTTCCTCCCCTTGCGGGAGCGTCCCTGTTTCAGTGGGGGCTTGGGAAGTGCTTTGGTGGCGGTTCTATTTCAATCACTTCCCGGGGGTCAGGGCCTGGGCACTCAGCTCTGCAGCCAAGCCACACCCGTGCTGCCCATTAAGGTTTAATGGGCCTTCCTTATTTACACCTAAATGAGGTTTTTAATGGTTTAATGAGCAAAATATATCAGTTTGCTTCTTTAAACCTTGCCTCTCAGAGGTAGCACTACTAGCCATCTCCAAAGCTTAATAAAAGATGAAAACCTTCGTTCTGTTGGCTAGGGAGGCCTGCGGCCGCCTTCATCTGATTGGCACAGACCCGGGGTGCCTTGGAGAAGTCAAAATCAGAAAGTCAATCAACGGCGACGTTTCCA